CTACTCCATCCGGACTAGCCCTCAGGTATGATTTGGTGTTGTGTACAATCAACCCTGTCTCCTTTATGACTAAGTTGGAATGTTTGGTCTTCTCCTTGTTGAAATATGCATTTCTGGCAAGTGACTCGTTTGCTACTCCCCATTTTGATACTCTTGGCATTTGGTAGTGGAGGAGGCTTTGTAAGGTTCTTGTACTTGTCCCCCATACAATCACTGACTAGTCTACTGGGTGATGCCTTGCCACCGGTCATTAACCTATCTATCCGATGGAACTTTGTTGTGGTTAAAGACCCTGACCGCATGGCGTACCACTTAGCATTCTGATTCTGGCCTCTTGTCATCATTTCCACATGCCTTCTTTCCTTCTGGTCTGTTTTGCAAGAGTTGACGAAATCACTTGTGGTCATGTTTTCGGAGATAGGCGCGTAAGCGAGGGGGGTAGGCTGGGAAACTGCTGGGAAACTATGCACGAAATCGTATGGCTTGTTCTTCCCACTTGTTGAAATATCCAGTGCTAGACATAACAGATTCACCTTTGCAGATTTTGACAATTTTGTATTCACATTGTGTGCTCTGCATTCTTTGTTCAATCGTTGTATCGAAAGACCTGAAATGTCTGTGTACGTTTTCAACTTGTTTGTCGTTCTCTCCATTTTACCTGAAACAGCCAACAATCAAAGATTACTTGCTTGATTATAACCAAACCGTACACGTTAGGCCACAGCAAGTAAATCTTATGGTTGAAATCCTCCGCAGACTCCAAATCTAATGCGCGCGGGCGAAAGCAAAACAAGGCGGACCCCAAAAAACAAGATTCCTACATTTAAAATTTGACATCATAAACCTTGTCAATCACAAAAAAACTTGTGTTAGGTTTACCGCCAGCTATTGCAACATCCATTTCTCACTGAATTCGAAACAACTTTGAAAAGTGAAAGTTTTAAATCATTGTACAAATGGAACATCACATATACACATGCACCGTAACATATAAAAGAACTTATATCACTGCATCAAATTACATGTAATAGATAAATATTAAATTATCTATTGTACACGACGCATTAAAACGTCCCTCCTTTGACACCCTTTTTTCCACACCAAAAGGGCGCTCTTTTCTATGCATTCAGCCTCTATAATTAGACGTTAGAAATGTTTTAAAAGATTGAACTTACCTGCGAAGATCCGCTTCCGCTGTCAGGTGAGAACAGGTAAAATTTTTAAATCTGTAACGAATAGGATCTGGAACGGAATTTAGAGCAGAACCTAGAACATGTGTTCTATTGTTCTGATTATCGCTCTTTGGCGTCTTGTACATATCTATCTTAATAGTCTATAAAAATGATATAGAGACACAAAATATCTTTTATGGTAATGGTTGCCAAGGGAAAAATAGTTGCCTAGCTACGGTTACTATGTAAATGAACGCTTATAGTATAACTATATACATACAAAAAATATACAATGCCATGTTGATGATGAAGATAAGTTTCGGACCTCCACACCAATTTTCATGTCATTTGAAATCGGAATTAAGACGTCTTACCCAGAAACTACTTTTAAGATAATAGCTATTAAATGTTACCAAGAACAGCAATAAAACGAAACAAAAAAGATAACTCTGAATTTCAGAAAGTTTTATTTGAGGCAGGCATAATTCCACGATCTAAACCACGTCTTCTTCACGGCGCTTGGTGTGATTGTGTGAGCGGTTACAGGCGGCCTTTACCCATTTGGTGGCGAGACCGCCCCATTCAATTGTGACGGGGTTGGCGGGCGCCAAACCGGATGTTGTCCGTCGCGCAAGGAATTGTGGGTATGTGAATGGGGCGAATTAGACTACAATAACCTACCTTGAACCTACACTGGATCTTGCATAGCCTTACCAAGTAACTTTGTGCATATCTGTTGTAAATAATTTTTATATGTGTCTTTTGTATATATGTTACTTTATTTTTTTCAAGTGAACGTCGGTTTTCAAATAATGTGACAAATTGTACCTAATTCAGGGGGGTTCGCTTCTGCTCCCCCTGCTGTTGTACATTTGTAAAATGATGATCAGTAAATAATTTTTTTAAGGAGAAGACTGCTGTAAACTTGAATTTTGTATGATTTTAACATGATCATGATTGACATGACTATGTAGACCATCTCTTATCTGTATTGTAAGTTGGTGATTCTAGCTGTTGTTAATCTGGAGTTGAAGGTAACTGATTCTTTCTCATATTGCATCTTCATTTGTTTTGGCTTAAAAACCCATACATAGGTCGTTCCAGAAAAAGAGCAACCTGTGGACATACTACAAAGTGAAAGAGCCGAAGAAGTAAAGCTACATCGGAGAGCTCCAAGGGAACATTGTAAAGAGGAGGATCGACTCCGGTAGAGGTATAAAGCGGAAGCAGCCCATGTCAGAGACTGACCCGAGGAGGCTGGGTCCACTACCAAACCATCCAGCACCACCAACCGCTTTGCTGGTCCAGCAACACCGGTCTAGGATGGAACTAGAGTACTAGTTTATTCTCAGTTAACGCAGGAACATTCATATCCGAATCAATACTAAAGCGCCATCACATTGTAAACTAGAATTCCTGCAGGAATGAACATGTATGTAGCTACAAGCTCTGAGGTAAAAAGGAATTCAATAAGGTCCAACAGATCACAAAAGCTTGGGGATCCCTACGTGGGACGACAAGTGCAGTCAATTTCGCGCGCTTCCGTATTTCCCTGTTTTCTTTAAGCAATGTTGACATGCGGGTTTGCTCGGGTAGCTATCAGTCATTTTGTAGTGGATAAGACCGCGAAAGGTAATTCTGAAAGGCACAGTCGGTACGTGGAGACTCTAGGAAAGAACGTTGATATTAACATAAAGATGTTTAAGAAGACTGGACTCCGCGTGAGGACGAACTTGATTGTGGCCGGGAAAGGGTATTCGAGTCACTTTTCATTACAAGCTTGGGAGGCATTGTCCGACAAGAAACGGAGCCTTCACACCAAGACGTGCCTTAAAAGAAGGTACCTCTGAATCACCCTACAGCTACATATACCTTAGTAAGTGGTAGTGCGGCAGCTAGGAGGGTCTACACGAATTAAAAAAACGTTCAAGAAATCGTACAACGTGTCCTTCTCAGAGCTATTACTAGTATTAGCAAAGCTACCCGAAACCATCCTTGAAGTAAGAAAATCTCAAAAGCAGCGTAAAAAACGTAAGACCGCCTCAGGCTCCTAGAAAACAAATGGAACCAAGCAGCCAGGTTCCTGACCTCACGGAAGTCTTACTCCAAACGCCAAGGAAGGCGATTTAGCCAGTTCTTTGAGACCTGTTACCAGGCTAATGTTTGGGCGAAAGCAAGGTTGGCCCTAGAGAAGGCAGGAAAAAGAGAAAAAAATGCGCCATGCCCCAGACTGGCGAGGGGTAAAGTTCAATAGGGAAGGCCTGCTGAAGGAAGTGCTAGAACAGCATGTAACAAACTTGTCACTAATATGTGCAGATGCAAACGATGGTAATAACGTCTGATTTCTTGCCGCATTCATGGTAACGTACACACTCAGTCTCCTTCCTAAAGATAAGATAAAGAAAATATAAATGTCTCTAACAGGATATTGTAATGGAATGCGCAAAATACAAAGAACATTGGTATGTTTCCCATAACACAAACATATGCGTACCTCATACTAATAATCCATCATCCACAATCGGACCTTTCTCACTCTTGGAACAAGACGTAGAGATCTGCTATCTGAACAGATCTACGATAAAAAGCTGGTGGTATAAACTAAGATTCACAACGTTCACAACGGCGGAAAACTTAAGACACGATGCGCATGCATTACGTCTTCTGTAACGGTAAGTAACATCAAACACATTAATTCTTGACCGAATCATTGACATATGCAAGATAAAATTAACTTATTAACGGAGGGGGCCCCGAGTTCGCCACTGTACCCCGAGTTCGCCACTTTTAGTTTCATTATTTTCTTAAGTATACAGCAACGATTTTAATATCATTCTTGTGATTCTTCTAACCACAGAACATCAAAGTGTAATATGCATACACAGGCTTCTGTATATATAGACAAGCGACGATCTACGGAGAAGAAAATGGGAAGTGTGACGCGCAACACCATCCGCGCGTCTGGGCGAGATACCTGGCGACAGCGACATGCCCACGATGACGACGTGTTCTTTGTCGCCAGAATGGGGCTGTAAACTAAATATTAGATCTGGGAGCATCTAAGACGTATTCCTAAACTGGGCAATAAAGATTGAGCACTGAAATATTCTGTATTGTGGTTTATTTTACCATTTACTTTCAAGTATTTTACCAACTCTGCTTCACTTCGAACGTGTGACTCATGATCGAACGCGCACTATCTTTTTCGACTGTTCGAATCTTCCCATGTAAAAAATGAATACATTAACAGGTAAGATCTTCTTATCAATCTTGCAAATAAGTTTAAATGGCAAGTCTTAAACTAGTTTAAACTTTGTGAAAGCCAGTTTACATCGTCAACAAGTTAAAGGGTCTAATTATTGACCGGGAAGCAAGCTGTACGATGCCTATTTGCAAGCAAACTAAAGGACGCCGTATTACAACGTTTCCGGAATTTCCTTTACTTGACCAGCAAAGAAAACACGCACCGGTTTTATGAATCGTTGGTTCAGGGACTAAACAGTGTCCTCGTCTAACTTACATGTCTGCTATCATCCTCACGAATCTTTTACGATCGACG